TGACTTTATTTCATATTGCATACATAAAGTAATAAATAAAGCAGTAAAAGAGAAGAGAAGTGAAAAGAACCTTCGTAGCAAGCTTTGTATTACGAATCTTTAACTGTGAGGATGCGTTTTGGCAATCCCCCGCTCTACAAAGACTCTCCTTCCCGAATACAAGATCGACTCTACTAAATTTTACAGAAGAATCGAATGTTGGAATATAATTCCTTAACTGATTGTTACCTTATTAAGGTAATCAGAGAGTTCATTCGAAGTAGGAAGAGAAGACAAGTACTTGGGTTGTCTGGTGTGTGAAAAAGTGGCAAATGAGCCTCCTATTTATAGTTTTCACAGCCTAGCAGCTTGGGACGGCCGTTCAGGGCTTGGAAATCAAGGATGAGCGTCTGGAGAGGTTGGGACGACCGTCTGGGATTTGGGACGGCCATCCCATTCAAATTTTGGCCCTGAGACGGGCGTCCCACATTTGTGACGGGCATCCCACTTGGCAATGGCAGTTTGGGACGGCCGTCTCACCTTTGGGACGACTGTCTCAACTTGTTTTGGCTAGCTTTTGTGTTCTGGGACCCCCAGGAAGCTTTCCTTTCTTTATTCGGACGTCGATTGATGCCGATAGACGTCCATTGAAGCTTTATCTTCATATAGGAAGTCTTCTTTGGCCTTTATTGAGATGCCAGGCGAGCTTTATCTTGTTATAGGAAGTCTCTTTAGCCTTTATTGAGAGGCCGGGCAAAATTAGGGGTCTACAGCTGCCCCCCCCCTTCACCGACAAAATTAGTTGGTAGGGGAAGGAGTTAACCCTTTTTGCCCGGTTATCCATCAGATGCTCCTTCGCTTGAAGTTTGTTGATCCTCCGGATGATAAATATTTTTGATAGGTACCAACCCCTATCTGGTTTGAGCCTTACTTTATAAGGCTCTGGTGAGTACTTACCCTCACCAGGTCTGAGTCTGCATTTCACTAGACTCTTGTGGGTACCTACCCCCACTAGGTATGAATCTGCTCTTCGCTAGATTCTGAACCATATTCCATAAGGTTCTTGTGGGTACCTACCCCCACTTGGTATGAACCTTGTTCCGCAAGGATTTGGTGAGTACCTACCCTCACCTGGTACGAGTTCGCATTTTGCTAAACTCTTGTGGGTACTTACTTCTGAGGTGCTCAACACTTGAACTATCCTCTAATAGAAGCAAGGTATTTGCAACTCGTTTTTTTTTTGTAATGCTCTGGTGAGTATTTTACTCTACCTGATGTATTTTTGCTAGGTTTTGATGAGTACCTACCCTCATCCGGTACAAACCTTATTTTATAAGGCTCTGGTGAGTACCTACCCCCACCTGGTATGAATCTGCATTTTTGATAGATTCTGATGAGTACCTACCCTCATCCGGTACAAACCTTATTTTATAAGGCTATGGTGGGTACCTACCCCCACCTGGTACGAATATGCATTTTTGCTAGATTCTGATGAGTACCTACCCTCATCCGGTATAAACCTTATTTTATAAGGCTTTTGCTGGTATGAACCCTATTCTATAGGGCTCTGGTGAGCACCTACCCCCACCTGGTACGAACCCTATTCTATAAGGCTCTGGTGAGTACCTACCCCCACCTGGTACGAACCCTATTCTATAAGGCTCTTGTGGGTACCTACCCCCATCTGGTACGAACCCTATTCTATAAGGCTCTGGTGAGTACCTACCCCCACCTGGTACGAACCTTATTCTATAAGGCTCTTGTGGGTACCTACCCCCACCTGGTATGAACCCTATTCTATAAGGCTCTTGGGATGCTCTTTTTTGGCATTTAGTCTTTTGATTGATGAGTACAAACCCTCATCCGATTTTTGGAGATGTGTTGGCGGCTTATTGTCTTCGATCATGCGCCTATTCTGTGGGGAGTGATTGATCTTTCTTTTTGACTTTTCTATTTTAGTCATCCGGTTTTACCGGAGATTTCTTTGTGTTTTGGCTTTTCTTGTTTAGCCACCCGGTCTTTGTCGGGGATTCTTTGTGTTTTGGCTTTTCATTTTTAGCCATCCGGTCTTGCCGGGGATTCTTCGCTTTTTGGCTTTTCCTTTTAGCCATCCGGTCTTGCCGGGGATTCTTTGTCTTTGGATTTTAGTCATCCGGTCTTGCCGGGGATTCTTGTTGGCTGCCTCTTATTTTAGGCAGGAATCTCCTGGGGATTTGTTGATTTCTTGATTGTGCCTCTTGTTTTTAGGCATGTGCTTCAGCAGTGGTGAAGACTTTACTGTTTTTCGCCTCTGAATAGGTTAATTTCCCGTTTCTTGGGGATATCGGTTTTTTGCTTGCCTTAGGCAGAGGCTTTCTTGGGAGTGAAGGCTTTGCATTTCACTGGGGATATCCATATTGGGTGTTATAGGCGATTAACTCCCTGAGGATATGAATTTGTAGTTTTTGCCTTTGCTAGTAGGCTTGCTGGGGATATTTTTTCTTTTTGGTGATCCACCAGGGATTTGATCGTTTTCCGGAGATCTTTTTTGACTTGCCCTCTAGGGAGGAATGGAGTTTTTGACTCCTTATTGGATGCGGTTGTTTGAGCTGGCTTTGCCTATGCTCTTATTCCTGTTGGGGAATGGGTTTTTACCTTTTTCTCGTGATTTGTATCTCTTTTTCGCGATTCTTGAAAATTTGGCTTTTAAATATGTGCGCCTTTTATGCATATTGGCTTTTTCTTCTGTTGGATGAAAATATTTATTTTTTCTCTTCTTTTTTTTTGCGATCCTGAGGAGTATATTAGCTTCCCGGGGATCTAATCTTTGATTTGATTTTTTATGATGGAGTCTCGGCTCCTGACTTTGCGAAGCTCTTATTTGAGCTGGAAGATAAAAATTTTCTTCTTTTTCTCTTTTTGGAGATTCACCAAGGAGTTTGTCAGCTTCCTGGGGATCTAACTTTGATGATTTTTTGATGATGGAGTCTTGGCTCCTGGCTTTGTGAAGCTCTTTATTGAGCGGGATGAAGAGATTTTCTTCTTTTTCTCTTTTTGTAGACTTTTCTTGATATGCTCTACTTGGAGATTTTTTATTCGGCTTTTTTTGTGCCTCTATTGGGGAATGAAAAGTTTTTTCTTTTCTTTCTGTTGCCCCCTGGTGATATGGAGGATTTGACTCCGTATTTTCTTGTGTGCTCATGTGATGATGCCGCTGAGTTGTGAGGTAATCTTTTTGTTTTGCCTCTGGAGTAGGCAAGGATCCTCTTGGGGATGATCAAGCCTTTCTGTTAGCTTTTCTATTTTGATGGCTTCCTTCTTTTTTGGATGGAAGGATGTTGATTGAAGCTTCATGTGATGATGCTTGATGACTCATGTGATGGTGCTGAGTCATGAAGTAATTTTTTGTTTTAGCCTTTGGGGTAGGCAAGGATCCGTTTGGGGATCATCGAGCCTTTCTGTTGGCTTCTTTCTGGTGCACCTTCATTTATTGGGATAGAAGGTTAGAGCTATTTTCCTCGAAGCTTTTTGCTGGAATAGTTTTGATTTCGCCTTTTTCTTTCGCGATTTTGATCTTTATTGCGAGTTATTTGAAATCTAGCTTTTTAATATATCACGTGTGCCTTTTATTTTATAATTTTTGTACACGTGGGCTTTTTGAAATGTAAACAGAAATAACAATTTTTATTTATTACTTCTTTTTTTGTGATACATTCAAGCATTTTTTTAAACTACTAGAAAATATCTAAAAACCTCCTAATCATCTGCTTCTGGGCTGGAATGGGAGGATGGTGCTGGCGAAGGGATGCGGCGGAGTATGCGGCGCTGGAACCTTGCCTGAGTCTGGACCAAATTCTCTATTTGACGGTCCGTCCTATCTTGCCTCATGGTCAGCTGACTGAACTGCTGTCGTATGAACTGGAACTCCCCTTCCATGTAAGCGTGCTCATCATCTATACGTCGGTATAAGTCGGCGAAGTCTGGATCATATGACTGCTGCTGGGATTCCGAAGTCGCAGGGATGTCCTGTGGTGTATCGAAATCATGCATATCCAGTGAAATCGAGATTATGGGGTTTAAAATAAACCCTGATCCTTGTCGACTAAGGATGTTCATGTGAACCAGTGTTCCTCCGCTAATCGGCTCTGGTTGGAGGCTAGCTGGGAGGTCTTCTCCGTCAGTGCATCCCCAATATTCAGCTAAAGGGGTGAGAAAGGGGGCCACCATGATGGCTCCTGCTGAGCCGCGAGTTCCGTAATCTTTTACGGCTTTCAGGAAGGCATATCCTGGGTTGCATCGATGTCCTTGATGCATACAGTAGACAATGAAAAGGTCAGCCAGTGTTACCTTCCCTTGGCTTTCCTTCCGACTATGTATGGTCCCAGCTAGCAATTTATGGCATATGCGGAGCGGAGGAGAGAAAGTTGCACCCTTCAGGTGTGACGGCAGAGTATGAGCTCTAGTGATTTCTTTCCACATGCTGGTGGTGGTGAGAGCAGCGGGTTTTTCAAGATATGCAGACCGATATTCTGGTGTTCTTGTGTCTGCTCGTTGGCAGAAGCCCATTATGACATTAAAGTCATCCAGAAAAGTGGTCCGGTAGGCCCCATCCATCCAGTAGGAGATGGCTTGAGTAGGTGGCACTCCGAGAGTTGTGGATGGCATTTCCACCAGATTGACGGAGGCAAAGAATTCCAGTGTAGCAGTACGGTGGATCCAAGTAGGTGGCTCACGGAGCAAAAAGTCCCATCCTATGTTGTGGATGAATCTTCTGACATCTTGATCCCAACCAAATGTAGCTAGGATTTCAAAATCCAGCCGCAGCATGGGATGCCAGGAAAATTGTTGGATATTTGCCAACCTTTCTTGATGCGGTTCTGCCAGCAGAGTGTTGGTGACAGGAGTTCCTCTAGCGGAGGTCCTGGTGCGTTTTCTCCTGGATGAAGCCTCTCCATGTTCCATTGTATATCTCACTCACTTAAGAATGCTAGAAGTGTGTAGAAAGGGAGGAGAAGCAAGATAGAATGCTTGGAATGGGGTACCAAGGCAAGGATCCGCGCTTATCATATATAGGAGGCGCCAGGAGATTTGGGACGGCCGTCTGGGTTGGGACGACAGTCTCAATTGAAAATTTGCCTTTGGGACAACCAACTGAAGAGTGGGACGGCGGTCTCACTCGGGACGGGCGTCCCATTTGAATTTGGCCATTTGGGACGGCCATCTCGCCCTTGGGACGGCTGTCTCAAGCTTTTCAAGTTGGTTTTCATGTTTTTTTGATGAGAAGGAGGATAGGACTCCATTCATTGATGTTTTAATGCATGTAATGTTTCGTGATATGCATGCTATGATCTATTTCAGTTAATATTTCGAAAGTTTTAACTGATGTGCTTTGACTTCGGGTGCATTCTTGGTGCTGTACCTTTCTGTCATCATGTTTCTTGATTAACAAGCTTGGCTGTACCTGACTTGCCGTCTTGGACTTTTCTTGCTATAGCCGAAGAGCAGTCTTTTGTTCATAGGGCAACTGCCATATCAATGCCCCCCTTCCTTTCCTTAGGGATTTCAACCTTCCTATTGATCACTATATTTCCACATTCCCCTTTATTACTTGAATGCTTTATAGTGAAATGGTCAAGAGAAGAGAAAGAAAAGGATTTACAACAAGGACTTGTGTTTTAGAGGGATATTTTTTGTAATAGAGGTTTCTGTAAGAATGGCTAGCCAAGGTTGGTCTGTGTTTAGGCTAGTTTAGGCAAACATTTCGTTCTTATGATGTGGCGTCTTTACTTTACTGATTTGTGGCGCCTTTTTTGTGATTGATTAACTTTCCTAGCCCGCCCTTTCAGGTTTTCAGCCTAGGATGTTATGCTTATGTCCTAACTTTTGTCTATGTTTCCCTTTTTTTATTTTATTTTTAAGGAATACCTAGCGGACTTTTTGTAACCCTAACTTTTGCCCAGGTTACCCTTTATTATTTTTCGGGTCTCCTGCCGGGTTTACCCTAACTTTTGTGCAGCCCCCTTTTGTGGGTTTCCTGCTGGGTATTTTGCCCTTTTATTTTTTTGTCTTAGCCTTTGGCCTTAACGAGCTCTCCTTTTTTGTATATATGTTTGTTTTTTGCACAACATTGTCGAAACTTGATTCTATCGAGAAATATTTTATCCGTGTTTCTAGTTAATCAATCATATTTGATTTTGCTTTATGAAGCTTTGATTGTTCTGACGCATTTGGAACAAAATGTCTACCTAAACCTTGTTTATTAAAAATGGGGTATAGACATATTTAGCAAGAAAAGAAGCAGATAGTAAGAATAACATTCTTTTGTAATTTTGGGGAAATGTGTGCCCTAGAAATGCTCAGGGGTCGGGCATACCCCGATGAGTGATCTCTAATAGTCACTAGGTTTACATCCCTTAGTATTGGAAGAAGGACACCTAATGACTAACGCTACCCTTTGCGCTAATATCCCTCCTTTTCGGAATATCGTCTTTGAGGGGTAAGACTTCCCTGTTTGTCGTATGGTTTGATCTTTTGTGGGATCGTACCCTAAACCATACTTTAAAGGATTATCTTTGAAATCCGGTGGCTCTTTTATTCCTTGAGCATTCTTTCCGAGCCCTTGTCCTGGGCGATACCCGTATCTTTTCATCATATGGGTCACCTTTGTATTACTGGGAAGTTTTTCTATGTTGGCAATTTCGAGCGCTTGAAAAGATGTTTCAAGAGCCTCTTCAACCACATCCACATATGGTTGGACAGACGGTTTGCTAATTAAAAAGTCTTCTTCAGCTTGAACTGTGACAAGTTTATCATTTGTCACAAACTTAACTTTTTGGTGGAGTGTTGAAGGTATTGCCTTAGCGCTATGAATCCAAGGTCTACCAAGGAGACAACTATATGCTGGCGTGATATCCATCACATGGAAGTCTATGTTAAAGATAGTAGGGCCAATTTGAATTGGTAGACTAATCTCTCCTACTACTTCACGTCTTGATCCATCAAAGGCTCGAACAATTGTATTACTCGGGCGCATGTGGGTTCCTTGCACTGTTATCTTGTCCAGTGTGCTTTTAGGCATAACAGTTAAGGATGACCCATTATCCACCAGAACTTTGGAAATGAGATATTCCTTGCATTTGACAGAAATATGCAAGGGTTTATTGTGATTTGACCCTTCTAAAGGGAGTTCTTCATTTGTGAAGGTAAGATGATTATTGGCTATAATGTTACCAATAATTCCTTCAAATTTGTCCTGGGATATTGCATGCGGGACGAATGATTCATTCAAAACCTTTAACAGTGCGTTTTGATGCGGCTCCAAACCCATTATAAGTGATAACAAGGTTATCTTTGCAGGAGTACGATTGAGTTGATCGATGATGGAGTACTCACTTTGTCTTATGTACTGGAGTAACTCATCTGTCTCCTCCTTGGATTCTTTTTCCTCTTCGGCTTTATTTTTTGCCTTATCTTTAGGAATATTATCTTGTAATTCCTTGGGGGAGTATATTCTTCCGCTTCTAGTCATGCCCCCAATACCGGCTATGTTGGAGATATCTTGATTAACGGGTGATTCTTCTGAATATCTCCAAGGTACAGCTTTATTTGATGAATAAGGGAAAGGACGAGGCATGAATAAGCGTAAAGGCGTTATTGCCTCTTCCCTTTTATCGATTGGAATGACCAACGGTGCTTGTTTATTATCATCTTTGAGTCTATCGACCGTTGTAGAGATTTTGATGACGAAATGCTTCTTTTCCATTTATTCTGATTTGTGGAAAGCACATCAATTAATCCTTCTTTTTTATTATCTTTGTTATTAAAATGAGGAGGGATGTATGAATCTATGCAACTTATGAATGCAATAGACAGTTTTAGGAAAATCCTTTTTATTTCAACTAGAAAGTGTTTATCCTTCTATACAATGCTTTGAAGCAAGTGTTGACAAAAACGGAGAAGCTTGAAGAATCCTATAGGTAAATTAGGATTTCTTCGTAATTCATCTTCAGCTACTCTCACATGATTTCTGAGCGTCTTGATTTGCTCATGTACCGCCTGGCTCATATCTTCACTATATCGACGAGCCTCTTTTATCTTTTCTTCTTGATAAACGATCAACGCATGCTGTTGGTCAGACTTTTCTATTACTTGGTCTCTTTCACGAAGTAATTGACCATACTGAGCTAATCCATCTCTTTCTTTCTCATGTAGCTCCTCCAGGTCTTCTCTGTATCTTTCAGCAGTCTCCCACCACTTTTGTGCTTCTGACCGAGTTTCTGCTAGGTCATCCTGTATTAACTTGATCGTTTTTGCCTGTTCTGCAAGCGCACTCTCAAGATGTGCTATTTCATCATTCATGTCCCGGAATAGACTATCTTGTTCAAGCCTCGGAATTTTCAGTGCTTGTTTAGTCTGTTCTTGATAATCAGCACAATCATTCTTAAGACGCTCTATTTCATGGTCCTTCTTTTTACATTGCCTTTTTAGACCATCTATTATAAGGGTTGCTTCTTACTCTTTTTCTTCGAAGGCCCTTAGCTGAACTTCCATGACTTCTACCCTTTTATTTAAGGCATTGACCTACAATTGTAGCTCTTCATTGACTAATGTTGTAGTGAATGTAGTAGATGGTTGGGGTATCCTTCTACTTTTCCTCCATTCTTCATATTTGTGGGATGTAGACACCTGAACCTTTCCAAGTTCTTTATCTCCTATATAGAATGGTCTTTCCCATGCTTTCCGGACAGCGGATACTTCTTCGAAGCTATGAGAGTAATGGCATAGACTCAGCCCTCTGAGCTCTTCTTGAGTTGGCACCGTCTGGGTTCTCATGACTTGTCTCATTGCTATCTTTGGAGAGTAAGCTATACAACCCCTGAGGCCTAGTAGTGGTATGCTCAGGTAATCTCCGCATCGTACAAGAATATAACCGGGTCGGAACCAAGGGCAAACCCATGATACATGCTCTATGTTCCAATTTTCTAACTCGGTTTTCCATTCTAAAGCTTGACGATGCTGAAGAGGGATTTTTACAAAACTTCTTAAAGGATCAGGGAATATGCCCATGTAGCTTGAAGCGTAGAAGTGAGTGATGCCCCATACATATAGTAATGAAGTGCAACATCTAAGTGTTTTCCCCTGTTTCTGTCGGCAAAAATCTACTAAAAGCAGGGTATCAACAAGAATTGCAGGTATAGGACTCTTAGAGTATACATCCCAGGCAAAGAATGCATCTATTGCAACATGATCCACAACGTTTACATGAAATGGGAATAATATAATTCCGAACATTGCCAATGCTAGAGTTTTGTTGAAGGTAGACCAATCTTTCTTTTCAGCCAAAGAGATTAAGTGGTCTTCTATTATTGACATTTTCCAACCTCGGATGTTCCCTTTTCCCTCTAGGATGGATTGATGAGGAGGCAGTCGTATGATAGTAGCAACCTTACTCACGACAACATATACTCCTAAGTAGACATAGACCCCGACTGACTGAGGCCATCTAACCATGAGTTCATATTCTTCTAAGGTTGGTACTAAATCGAACTGCGAAAACTCAAAGCAGTGTAGATTGGGATTCCAGAAGTGGACCAATGCTCTAACAAAGATAGGATCGATGCTCACTTTCAGGAGGTCAAGAATCCTTCCATAAGATTTCTCAAAATTAGCACTGACCTCCGGCGGCATATATGTACATAACTGCCTTAACTTCTCTACACGGCATAGAAGAATTTCCACTTTCTTTAACTGTGTATTACTGGATCCCTCCATTATCTAAAAGAAATGAAAATGCATGATATGAGGATGAGTCCTTGTAAATGCATGCATGTAAGTGTTTGTTTTTCTAAGTATTATCATGTTTTATTCTTAATATGATACATGATAGTACTTGGTTTTTTCTTAAAAGGAAAACTATCTATATGGATGTTTATGGATTTTGATGAAAAGAGTCCTATTTTCTTCTCTTATCATTTTTATGAACATATGTTGTATGAATCATAAGACTTTTGTCAAGAATCTTTTTATTGTAAAAAGTTATTTTTATGGCTTTAATTTGTTTTTATATTTTTTATGACCCTTTATCTCTTCTGTCGGTCAACGTGGCTACTTAGCTTACAAAGAACCTGAAACCAGGCTAGCTTAACTGAAGACTGTCCGAGATAAAGTTGGTTTATCTTATCACTTTTATGATTTTTAGGGTTTTTCACTACTTTGTTTGTT